CTTTGTATCACCTGTGGCCAGTCACTTCACTGGTGTGTCCAGAAAGTAATGAGAATGATATTTTAAAAGTCTTTTATTGAAAAAATGTTACAATTGAACATCATCCCCTTCAAAGTATGCCCCTTGTGAGTGCACACAACGATCCAAGCGATTTTTTCCATTCTTCATAGCATCCCTGGAAGTCTTTAAGTGGGATGGCGTTCAGATCCTGCGTAGTGGCTCTTTAGACATTATCCACGCTACCAAAATGGCGTCCTTTCAAATATTTCATCTTTGGCAATATGAAAAAGTCACAAGGAGCCAAGTCCTGGCTGTAGGGTGGATGGGGAAGCACCGTGACATGTTTTTCAGCCCAAAACTCTGAAAGCCAAAGCACTGTGACTCGGGGGGGGGGGGTTGTCGTGTTGAAGGATCCAAGTTGAGCTGATCTCAGAACGCACAAGAAAAACTCTTTGTCTCAGGCAACCAAGAACTTCCACATCCTGCTCCATTTTTGATGAAGAGGGATGTCCTGATCTTTGTCCATCCAACACCTTCTCGTTCTTACTTGAAGGCCTCGTGCCATCAGTACACTGGTGTGGATGATAGCACAGCTTCTCCATATGCTTTCCTCACCATTTCCAAAGTTTCTGATACACTTTTACCCAATTTCATACAAAACTTTTATCGCATACTGCCGTTCTAAACTCACTTGCATTTTTTATAATACGAGGCACTTGAACAGGGCGTCACAAAAAAGAACATCTTGACTGTGACAAGGCCGGAGCGAAACTGATCCGTGTTCTGATCAGTGATCAGTGTTTATCCACGCTACCAAAATGGTGTCCTTTCAAATACTTCATCGTTGGGAATATGAAAAAGTTGCAAGGAGCCAAGTCTGGGTTGTAGGGTGGATGGGGAAGCACCATGACATGTTTTTCAGCCCAAAGCTCTCTGAAAGCCAAAGCACTGTGACTTTTAGTGTTGTTGTGTTGAAGGATCCAAGTCTCAGGACACACATGAAAAACCTCCTTGTCTCAAGCGACCAAGAACTTCCGCATTCTGCTTCGTGTTTGGTGAAGAGGGGTGTCCTGATCTTTGTCCGTCTAACACCATCTCGTTCCTCCTTGAAGGCCTCGTGCCATCGGTACACGTGTGTAGATGATACCGCAGCTTCTCCGTACGCTTTCCTCATCATTTCCAAAGTTTCTGATGCAGTTTTACCCAATTTCACACAAATTTTTATTGCATACTGCCGTTCTAAACTGACTTGCATTTTTATAATACGAGGCACTTGGACAGGGCGTCATGAAAAAGAACGTCTCGACTGTGACAAGGACGGAGTGCAACTAATCGGTGTTCTGCTCAGTGATCAGTGTTTATCCACGCTACCAAAATGGTGTCCTTTCAAATCCTTCACCGTTGGGAATATGAAAAATTCGCAAGGAGCCAAGTCTGGGCTTTAGGGTGGATGGAGAAGCACCATGACATGTTTTTCAGGCCAAAACTCTCTGAATGCCAAAGCACTGTGACTCGGGGTGTTGTCATGTTGAAGGATCCAAGTTGAGCCGATCTCAGGACACACATAAAAAGCCTCCTTGTCTCAGGTGACCAAGAACTTCCACATTTTGCTCCATTTTTGATGAAGAGGGGTGTCCTGATCTTTGTCCGTCCAACACCTTCTCGTTCTTACTTGAAGGCCTCGTGCCATCGGTACACTTGTGTGGATGGTAGCACAGCTTCTCCATATGCTTTCCTCACCATTTCCAAAGTTTCTGATACACTTTTTCCCAATTTCACACAAAATTTTATTGTATACTGCTGTTCTAAACTCGCTTTCACTTGGACGGGGCATCACGAAAAAGAACATCTCGACTGTGACAAGGCCGGAGCGCAACTGATCGGTGTTCTGCTCAGTGATCAGTGTTTATCCACGCTACCAAAATGGTGTCCTTTCAAATCCCTCATCGTTGGGAATATGAAAAAGTCTCAAGGAGCCAAGTCAGGGCTGTAGGGTGGAAGGGGAAGCACCGTGACATGTTTTTCAACCCAAAACTCTCAGAAAGCCAAAGCACTGTGACTCGGGGTGTTATTGTGTTGAAGGATCCAAGTTGAGCCGATCTCAGAACATACAAGAAAAACTCTTTGTCTCAAGCGACCAAGAACTTCCACATTTTGCTCCATTTTTGATGAAGAGGGGTGTCCTGATCTTTGTCCATCTAACACCTTCTCGTTCTTCCTTGAAGGCCTCGTGCCATCGGTACACTTGTGTGGATGGTAGCACAGCTTCTCCATACGTTTTCCTCGCCATTTCCAAAGTTTCTGATGCATTTTTACCCAATTTCACACAAAATTTTATCGCATATTGCTGTTCTAAACTCGCTTGCATTTTTCATAATACGAGGCACTTGAACAAAAAGGAACATCTCGACTGTGACAAGGCCGGAGAGCAACTGATCGGTGTTCTGCTCAGTGATCAGTGTTTATCTACGCTACCAAAATGGTGTCCTTTCAAATCCTTCATCGTTGGGAATATGAAAAAGTCGCAAGGAACCAAGTCCGGGCTGTAGGGTGGATGGGGAAGCACCATGACATGTTTTTCAGCCAAAAACTCTATGAAAGCCAAATGGGGTGTTGTGTTGAAGGATCCAAGTTGAGCCGATCTCAGAAAGCACAAGAAAAACTCTTTTTTCTCGGGCAACCAAGAAGTTCCACATTCTGCTCCGTTTTTGATGAAGAGGGGTGTCCTGATCTTTGTCCGTCTAACACCTTCTCGTTCTTCCCTGAAGGCCTCGTGCCATTGGTACACTTGTGTGGATAAAGAGCAGCTTCTCGCCATTTTCAAAGTTTCTGATGCACTTTTACCGCATACTGCTGTTCTAAACTCGCTTGCATTTTTCATAATATGAGGCACTTGAACAGGGCGTCACGAAAAAGAACGTCTCGACTGTAACAAGGCCGGAAAACAACTGACCGGTGTTCTAACGTATACCGGGAACCCCACCCCAAGTGGCCTTGGCCATCTTCTCCCCGAACAGATCCCTTTTCCAGCGTAGGAACTTCATTCTCATTATATTCTGGACACACCTCGTATGTGAGGGATCACAACCACTGTAAGTACATAAACTATTTCCATTTCTTTCTATTCGGCTGTTCCAGGAGACGAATCCGCTCATTCCCAAGGCTGGAGAGAGCACCGTGCAGGTTCTGAACTTCGCAAACCAAGAAGTCACCATGCGCGTGCCAAACAATTCTCCAATCACATGGCCATCACTGCTCAACGAGGATTCCCAGGTGAGAGACTTTATGGATAAAGTAATAGAGTGTGACTGTGGGGGAGGGGACATTAGAGTGTAAGCTCCTCTGGTACAGAGACAGATGTGACTGTGGGGGGGAGGGGGCACTAGAGTGTAAGCTCCTCTGGTACAGAGACTGATGTGACTGTGGGGGGAGGGGAAATTAGACTGTAAGCTCCTCTGGTGCAGAGACTGATGTGACTGGGGGGGGGGGGGGACACTAGAGTGTAAACTCCTCTGGTACAGAGACTGATGTGACTGTGGGAGAGGGGACATTAGAGTGTAAGCTCCTCTGGTACAGAGACTGATGGGACTGTGGGGGAGGGGACATTAGAGTGTAAGCTCCTCTGGTACAGAGACTGATGGGACTGTGGGGGAGGGGACGTTAGAGTGTAAGCTCCTCTGGTACAGAGACAGATGTGACTGTGGGGGAGGGGGCACTAGAGTGTAAGCTCCTCTGGTACAGAGACTGATGTGACTGTGGGGGGAGGGGAAATTAGACTGTAAGCTCCTCTGGTGCAGAGACTGATGTGACTGGGGGGGGGGGACACTAGAGTGTAAGCTCCTCTGGTACAGAGACTGATGTGACTGTGGGAGAGGGGACATTAGAGTGTAAGCTCCTCTGGTACAGAGACTGATGGGACTGTGGGGGAGGGGACATTAGAGTGTAAGCTCCTCTGGTACAGAGACTGATGGGACTGTGGGGGAGGGGACATTAGAGTGTAAGTTCCTCTGGTACAGAGACTGATGTGACTGTGGGGGAGGGGACATTAGAATGTAAGCTCCTCTGGTGCAGAGATGGATGTGACTGGGGGGGGACACTAGAGTGTAAGCTCCTCTGGTACAGAGACTGATGTGACTGTGGGGGAGGGGACATTAGAATGTAAGCTCCTCTGGTACAGAGACTGATGTGACTGTGGGAGAGGGGACATTAGAGTGTAAGCTCCTCTGGTTCAGTCAAACCTAATGATATCTGTGTGTTTTTCTGCTGCAGGATCCAAATTACGTGAAGGTTATTTTCACTGGCTCTAACTTTACGACGGTGGACGTGGAAATTCCTGGAACCACCATCACCTGCCCAGATAACATTCATGTGGAAGCCACGTACTCCTTATTGGTGGATACAAAAACGGACGGTACTCTGTACTGCAGAACAGTAAGTTGGGCAGAATTGTTCTGATACAGTATGTGGGTGGTCTGTGAAGGGGGGGGAGGGGGATATACCGGTAGTTGATTTTTGTTATTAATAATATATATTTTTTACTTGTAAATGTCTAATTTTAATGCTTTAGTATAGATTAGCCAATACAAGACTGATATTTTGGGGTAATATTTATTACAGTATAGAGCTGTGTAGTTCCATATAATCCATAGCTGTGATGTATATTATTAGTAAACGGTTACAGTGTAACATTTTAACATTTTAACATTTTTCTTTTTTTTCTATTTCTGTAGATTAAAGATCCCAATATAAAGCCAGAAAATGGATTAGCGGGGGTCAGTGCGTCTCGCTATTGTGTGATAATGTTGTAGATCAGTGGTCTCCAATATGCGGCCCTTTGATTTCCTTTATCCAGCCCTTGGGGCACTTTTCCTTCCCCTGATACAAGACACTATTCCTCCCACTGACACCAACCATGGAGCACTATTGCCCCTTCCAGTCCGGACACTTTCCCCCCTTCCAGTCCGGACACTTTCACCCCCTTCCAATCCGGACACTTTCACCCCCCCCCTTCCAGTCCGGACACTTTCCCCCCTTCCAGTCCGGACACTTTCACCCCCTTCCAGTCCGGACACTTTCAGTCCGGACACTTTCACCCCCTTCCAGTCCGGACACTTTCACCCCCTTCCAGTCCAGACACTTTCCCCCCTTCCAGTCCGGACACTTTCACCCCCTTCCAGTCCGGACACTTTCACCCCCTTCCAGTCCGGACACTTTCCCCCCCTTCCAGTCCAGACATTTTCCCCCCTTCCAGTCCGGACACTTTCCCCCCTTCCAGTCCGGACACTTTTCCCCCCTTCCAGTCCGGACACTTTCCCCCCCTTCCAGTCCGGACACTTTCATCACTTTCCCCCTTCCAGTCCAGACACTTTCCCCCCCTTCCAGTCCGGACACTTTCACCCCAATTCCAGTCCGGACACTTTCCCCCTTCCCCCCTTTCCCCCCTTCCAGTCTGGACACTTTCCCCCCCTTCCTGTCCGGACACTTTCCCCCCTTCCAGTCCGGACACTTTCACCCCCTTCCAGTCCGGACGGACACTTTCACCCCAATTCCAGTCCGGACACTTTCCCCCCCCCTTCCAGTCCGGACACTTTCACCCCCTTCCAGTCCGGACACTTTCCCCTTCCAGTCCGGACACATCCCCCCCTTCCAGTCCGGACACTTTCACCCCCTTCCCAGTCCAGAGACTACTTCCCCCCCTTCCAGTCCGGACACTTTCCCCCCCTTCCTGTTCAGGCCAGTTTTCAGCTTTCAGCGCTATCACACTTTGAATGACAATTGCGCGGTCATGCAACACTGTACCCATATGAATTTTTTAGCATTTTTTTGAGACAGATAAAACTTTATTTTGGTGGTATTTATTAATCGCTAGGATTTTTTATTTTTTTGCTATATAAATGAAAAATTCCAAAAATTTTGAAAAAAAGTGTTTTTCTTATAAAAGTTTGCAAATAAATAATATTTCATCATTAATCTTGGCCAAAATTTATTCCGTTATCTTTTAGTACAAAAAAAAAAAACCCAAATTAGTTCATAACCATAAATTATAATTTTTAAAAACAATTTTTTACATTTTTATTTTTTTTTTATATTATTGTGGGTTTTTTTTTTACATACTGTCACCCTAGCAGTACAGTTTCACCATAGTGACGCTGTACTACTTGTGGGGGAGTGATGAAGATTTTTTTTTTTTTTTTTTGTTACACTGATTGCTTTTACACCCATAAAGGCTGTAAAAGCAATAATTTCTCCTTCTCTCTGGCTGCATTACTGCAGCCACTGAGAAATACTGTGTGAGCTGTGATTGGTCACAGCTTGTCACATGGTACAAGGCTGTTGTGAATGGCCCTGTACCATGTGACCTTCACACGTAGTAAGCAATGATGTCAGAAGTGACATCTTGCATACTACTCTGCATGTGATCACTGATTGGCCAATCAGTGATCACACGATCGGGACCTCACACAGAGGTCCCGTACAGCGATTGGTGTTCCGCTGTATCCGGAGGCTCCCAGGGAGCGTGCACAGGCAGGGAAGCGGGGATGACATTTATAAACAGCCACCTGCTCCTGCACTGCTCCTGTCCGGCCGTTTATATACATGGGCCGGACGGGAAGTGGTTAAAGTGAAGTGTTTTTATCTTTCCCGTATGTGTTTGTTGTTTACAGCTAACATTAAATGAAATCATGTTATGGTCCCTGATACCCAGATGTTCCTTTATATGGACATTGGTAATAGGTTCTGGATTGTTTGAGATTAATAGGTCCAGCAGAGCATCATTTCTAGTTGGGGCTTCTATCAGCTGTGCCATAAAGCTGTCTTATAATAGGTTTATAAATTTCCTCCCTTTTACTGCTCCAGCAGTCCCATTACTCCAGTCAATTTTGAGGGTAGTTTAAAATCCCCCATTGTCATCACTGTCCCAGCCCTTGCAGACCTTTCTATATGTGGAAGGACCTCTTCATCAACACTGGGTGGTCTATAATATACACACCCCCATGTGCAGTTCCACACATAATGCTTCAACCTCATCACAGTCTCCATCAACTAGGTCCTCTTTCACACTCGCTCTGAGATCACTTCTCACACAGACTCCACCACCTTTCCTATTTCCCCCGTCTCTCCGAAAGAGAACCTAGCCAGGAATATGAATGGCCCAGTCATGTGAAGAATGAAGCCAAGATTCAGCAATACCAATTCAACCATAGTTCTCTTCATTCACTAAAGCTACCAACTCACCTATTTAGTTTGGAAGACTTCTGGCATTGGTGAACAAACGCTTATTATTTATATCAGATATGCCGTCAATTTACGCAGCACTTTACATATATATTATTATTATTATTATACAGTATTTATAAAGCGCCAATAGTTCTCTCAGCGCTGTACATTACAAATTGTACATTCACATCAGTCCCCGCCTCCGAGGAGCGTAAAATCTAAGGTCCCTAACTCACATTCATACATACACATACTAGGGGCCAATTAACTTACCAGCATGTCTTTGGAGTGTGGGAGGAAACCCACACAGGCACAGGGAGAACATGCAAACTCCAGGCAGGTGAAGCCGTGGTTGGGATTCGAACCAACGACCCCTAATACTGCCAGGCTATCTATATATACTTTAATGTATAGTTGCGCTTTGCACTTGTGTTTTCCATTACAAATAATACGATCATTTCCAATGGTTGTTTGTAACATGGGAACTTTTTTTATCAACTGCCATAGCCCTCCCCCCATCTTCTCCCCATTCCACCCACCATTACCCCTGGATCACATCTGCGCAGGTGGTGCCGCTGTGGGACCCACACAAATACCTGCAGCCGCACCACCCAGTGGCGGGTGCCATTAATTCTAATGGTATGTCACCCGCACTGGAAATCACAACTGTACTGGGAACCTCGGTTCCCCAGCGGGCTGCGATTTCCCAAGTAGTGCAGGGACTTCTTCCCTGTGTGTCCCGGGGCACGGGAGTCCATTCAAATGACTGGGCTCTCGTACCCGCACAATTCGCGCCCTGCATGAAAGCAAAGATGTGAAACGGGGGTAAGGGTCTGACCCAGGGGCGGACTGACAACTCATAGGGCCCCTGAGCAATAGGGGATCATGGGGCCCCTGTGTCCTTGCCCAAACTCAAAAAAGCCTATGAAAAAGGTACCAGGGGCATCTCATACTGACCCCGGGCCCTCGGGCAGTGCCCGAGTTTCCAAATGGTCAGTCCGCCCTTGGTCTGACCCCTGACTGACCTGTCTGCCCCATTATATTCTAATTCACCCTTCATCCTCAATCCCAGTTTAAATACTCCTCCAGCCATCCCATAAACCTCTCCCCCAGTACAATAGACAGGCTTTATGCAGATTTTTAATTATTATTATACAAGATTTATATAGTGCCAACAGTTTGCTCAGTGCTTTACAATGGAACGGGAGACAATACAGTTCAGTACAAGAGGGCTAGGAGGGCCCTGATCCTGGAAGCTTACAATCTAAGAGGGAGGGGCTAGTGGTACAAAAGGTAATATCTGTGGGGGATGGACTGATAGGAGGAATAGAAGATTCTGTTATTAGCTGAGGACAGGATAGGCTTCCCTGAAGAGATCGGTTTTCAGAGATCGCCTAAAAGTGAGCAGAGTAGGCGATAGTCTGATAAATTGGGGTTAGAGAGTTCCAGAGGATGGGGGAGGCTCTGGAGAAGTCCTGGAGACGAGCACGGGAGGAAGAGACAAGGGAGGAGGTAGTGGGAAGAGCGGAGAGTACTTTTTGGGTGATACTTGGAGACCAGATTGGTGATGTAATTTGGGGCAGAGTTATCAATGGATTTATATGTTATTGTTAATGTTTTGAATTTTATCCGTTGTATCCAATGGGAAGCCAGTGGGAGGGATTGGCAGAGAGGGGTGGAGGACACTGAATGGGGGCCAGTGGAGGGATTGGCAGAGAGGGATGGAGGACACTGGAGAGATTGGAGAGAGGAATGGAGGACAGTGTGGAGGCCAGTGGAGGGATTTGCAGAGAGGGATGGAGGACACTGAGTGGAGGCCAGTGGAGGGATTGGCAGAGAGGGGTGGAGGACACTGAGTGGACGCCAGTGGAGGGATTGGCAGAGAGGAATGGAGGACACTGAGTGGAGGCCAGTGGAGGGATTGTGCAGAGAGGGATGGAGGACTACAATGAGTGAAGGCCAGTGGAGGGATTGGCAGAGAGGGATGGAGGACACTGAATGGGAAGTCAGTGGAGGAATTGGCAGAGAGTATGGAATGGTTGGTAAGGTAGATGAGTCTGGCAGCAACATTCGTGATAGACGGAAAAGGGGATAGCCTGCGATGAGGTCGGCCAATGAGGAGGGAGTTACAAATAGTCAAGGCGAGATATAACAAGGGAGTGAATAAGTTGCTTAGTGGTTTCAGAGGTTAGGAATGGGCGTATCTTGGAGATGTTGCGGAGGTTGGAGATGTTGCGGAGGTTGGAGATGTTGCGGAGGTGAAGTCTACAAGATTTGGACAGTGATTGGATTTGGGGCTGAAAGGACAGATGGGAGTCCAGGAATTACACCTAGTACCGCTGGCATGAGGGCATATTTTGTATGATATGCTTTATATAGGGAAGACGCATGTATACCTCGCAATTGGTTCATTTTGATTTCCTGTATCTTGCTGATTTACTCCCAGAAATGTATCTTACGATATCAAGATTGCAGATAATACGATCAACAGTAGCAGCCAAGATATATCGGAATATCTTACCCAGAAAAGAGCATTGTGAGTGGATTCATGATTAATAACATTTCGAATATCCCCAGGCCTAGTAGATATGCAGATAGATAGATAGATAATAGATAGATAATAGATAGATAAAAGAATAGATAAGATAGATAATAGAATAGATAATAGATAGATAGATAGATAGATAGATAGATAGATAGAATAGATAGATAGATAATAGATAGATAGATAATGATAGATAGATAGATTAGATAGATAGATAGATAATAGATAGATAGATAGATATAGATAGATAGATAGAAGATAGATTAGATAATAGATAGATAGATAATAGATAGATTAAGATAGATAGATAGATAATAGATAATAGATAGATAGATAGATAATAGATAGATAATAGATAGATAGATAGATAGATAGATATATAGATAGATAATAATAGATAGATAATAGATAGATAGATAGATAGATAGATAGATAGATAGATAGATAGATTTAGATAGATAATAATAGGATAGATAGATATAGATAATAGATAGATAGATAGATAGATAGATAGATAGATAGATAGATAATAGATAGATAGATAGATAGATAGATAGATAGATAGATAATAGATAGATAGATAATAGATAGATAGATAGATAGATAGATAGATAGATAGATAATAGATAGATAATAGATAGATAGATAGATAAGATAGATAGATAGATAGATAGATAGATAGATAATAGATAGATAGATAGATAGATAGATAGATAGATAGATAGATAGAGGTGAGAGATGATAGAGATCAATCTTTTCACTGCCTGTATACAGTCTCTTTTTGATGCTTATTCTCCCACCAGAACCAAACTAGAAGTAACCTACAAAGGAGATAAATACACGATTGAATCTGGACTTACTGGACTTTGGTGCAGCATACACAGCAGTGCTGAGGGAGGTAAGTGACATTTTGACTTTGCGACCTTTCATGGAATCCTACAGCCCCATTATAGACAGCACAGTCCATTTTGTTTCCATATGGTGTTTTTATACACCACATCACCAAACATTTGTGGACACCTGACCATCTCACATATATTGTTGGACATCCATTCCAAAACCACAGCCCATAACTTTTTTTATAGGGTTGGGCTAGATGTTCCAGTCGAACATCAGCCGTTTCTGTGTTTGGCGAACTGAGCTCATACTATTCCCCCCCCAGCCCGTGCCCCCTCCCCTGACTCCCCCATCAAGATCAATAATACAACCATCAGTCCCTCCCCTCATGCCAGGGTACTAGGTGTAATCCTAGACTCCCATCTGTCCTTTCAGCCCCAAATCCAATCATTGTCCAAATCTTGTAGACTTCACCTCCGCAACATCTCCAACCTCCGCAACATCTCCAACCTCCGCAACATCTCTAACCTCCGCAACATCTCCAACCTCCACAACATCTCCAACCTCCCTAACATCTCCAACCTCTACAACATCTCCAACATCTCCAACCTCTCCAACATCTGCAACGCCCGTTCTTCGGAAACTACTAAGCAACGTATTCCCTCCCTGGTTATCTCTTGTCTTGACTATTGTATCTCCCTCCTCATTGGCCAACCTCATCGCAGGCTATCCCCTCTTCACTCTATCATGAATGCTGCTGCCAGACTCATCCACCTTACTAATCGTTCCATATCTGCCATCCCTCTCTGCCAATCCCTCCACTGGCCTCCACCCCTCTCTGCCAATCCCTCCACTGGCCTCCACCCCTCTCTGCCAATCCCTCCTCTGGCCTCCAACCCTCTCTGCCAATCCCTCCACTGGCCTCCATTCAGTGTCCCCACCCTCTCTGCCAATCCCTCCACTGGCCTCCACCCCTCTTTGCCAATCCCTCCACTGGCCTCACACCTCTCTCTGCCAATCCCTCCAATGGCCTCCACCCCTCTCTGCCAATCCCTCCAATGGCCTCCACCCCTCTCTGCCAATCCCTCCACTGGCCTCCACCCCTCTCTGCCAATCCCTCCACTGGCCTTCACCCCTCTCCGGCAATCCCTCCAATGGCCTCCACCCATCTCTGCCAATCCCTGCCAATTGTCTAACGAATAAAATTCAAAAACATTAACAATCACATATAAAGCCATTTATAACTCCGCCCCAAATTAGATCACCAATCCGGTCTCCAAATATCAGCCAAAAAACCGTCCTCTCCGCTCCTCCCATGACCTCCTGCTCTCTAGCTCCCTTGTCTCCTCCTCCCATGCTCATCTCCAGGACTTCTCCAGAGGTTCTACCATCCTCTGGAACTCTCTACCCCAATTTATCAAACTATTGCCTACTCTGCTCACTTTTAGGCGATCTCTGAAAACCGATCTCTTCAGGGAAGCCTATCCTGCCTTCAACTAATAATGGAATCTTCTATTCCTCCTACCAGTCCATCCCCCACAGTAAACTACCTTTTGTGCCACCAGCCCCTCCCTCTTAGATTGTCAGCTCCCAGGATCAGGGCCCTCCTAACCCTCTTGTATTGAACTGTATTGTTGCTGTATTGTCTCCCGTTATATTGTAAAGCGCTGAGCAAACTGTTGGTGATATAAATCCTTCGGCGGGATAGAATATCTCTCTGTATTTCTGCACAGAAGCTGGAGGGCTATGCTGGGACTTGTAGCTTGGCTGGAGGACTATGCTGGGACTTGTAGCTTGGCTGGAGGGCTATGCTGGGACTTGTAGCTTGGCTGGAGGGCTGTGCTGGGACTTGTAGCTTGGCTGGAGGGGCTATGCTGGGACTTGTAGCTTGACTGTAGGGCTGTGCTGGGACTTGTAGCTTGGCTGGAGTACTATGCTGGGACTTGTAGCTTGGCTGGAGGGCTATGCTGGGACTTGTAGCTTGGCTGGAAGACTATGCTGGGACTTGTAGCTTTGCTGGAGGGCTGTGCTGGGACCTGTAGCTTGGCTGGAGGGCTTTGCTGGGACTTGTAGCTTGGCTGGAGGGCTGTGCTGGGACCTGTAGCTTTGCTGGACGGCTGTGCTGGGACCTGTAGCTTGGCTGGAGGGCTTTGCTGGGACTTGTAGCTTGGCTGGAGGGCTGTGCTGGGACCTGTAGCTTTGCTGGAGGGCTGTGCTGGGACCTGTAGCTTGGCTGGAGGGCTGTGCTGGGACTTGTAGCTTGGCTGGGAGGGCTATGCTGGGACTTGTAGCTTGGCTGGAGGACTATGCTAGGACTTGTAGCTTGACTGTAGGGCTGTGCTGGGACTTGTAGCTTGGCTGGAGTACTATGCTGGGACTTGTAGCTTGGCTGGAGGGCTATGCTGGGACTTGTAGCTTTGGCTGGAGGGCTGTGCTGGGACCTGTAGCTTGGCTGGAGGGCTTTGGCTGGGACTTGTAGCTTGGCTGGAGGGCTGTGCTGGGGGTAGCTTTGCTGTAGCTTTGCTGGAGGGCTGTGCTGGGACCTGTAGCTTGGCTGGAGGGCTTTGCTGGGACTTGTAGCTGTGGCTGGAGGGCTGTGCTGGGCTATGCCTGTAGCTTGGCTGGAGGGCTTGCTGGGACTTGTAGCTTGGCTGTAGGGCTGTGCTGCTGGGACTTGTAGCTTGGCTGGAGGGCTGCTATGCTGGGACTTGTAGCTTGGCTGGAGGGCTATGCTGGGACTTGTAGCTTGGCTGTAGGGCTGTGCTGGGACTTTGCTAGTAGCTTGGCTGTAGGGGACTATGCTGGGACTTGTAGCTTGGCTGGAGTGGGCTATGCTGGGACTGTGTAGCTTGGCTGGAAGGGCTGATGGGACTTGTAGCTTGGCTGGAGGACTATGCTGGACTTGTACTTGTAGCTTGGCTGGAGGGCTGTGCTGGGACTTGTAGCTTGGCTGTAGGAGGACTATGCTGGGACTTGTAGCTTGGCTGTGTAGGGCTGTGCTTGCTGGGACTTGTAGCTTGGCTGGAGGGCTATGCTGGGACTTGTAGCTTGGCTGGAGGGCTGTGCTGGGACTTGTAGCTTGGCTGTAGGACTATGCTGGGGACTTGACTTGGCTGTAGGGCAATGTTGGGACTTTAGCTTGGCTGGAGGGCTGTGCTGGGGACTTGTAGCTTGGCTGTAGGACTTGGGACTTGTAGCTTGGCTGGAGGGCTGTGCTGGGACTTGTAGCTGGGTCAGTAGGACTTGCTTGTGGAGCTTGGCTTGGCTGTAGGACTATGCTGGGACTTGTAGCTTGGCTGGAAGACTATGTTGGGAGGACTTGTAGCTTGGCTGTAGGGCTATGCTGGGACTTGTAGCTTGGCTGGAGGACTATGCTGGGACTTGTAGCTTGGCTGGAGGGCTGTGCTGGGACTTGTAGCTTGGCTGTAGGGCTATGCTGGGACTTGCAGCTTGGCTGGAGGTTGAGGGACCCAGTTTTTCCTCCAGATGGCTGGTTCTGATCTCAACCTTCAGCTAGAATAGTCCAGAATGATGCTTGCACCGTTTATCTCTTTACTGCCAAGATATTCAGGCCTAGTATAGCTGCGTTGGTCATAATAACAATATCTAAGCTTCCCTTCTACATGACCTTTACATTGTGCTTTAAGGACATTTTAGGCTTTGACTTGATACATTGTTTTCGGTAATATCCTGCTCAGGTCAGACATGAAGTACAGAATTGCTACTACCAGTGTTTAGAGATCTAACCATTTCCAACAATTAGAATCTGCAGAATGGTCCTAAATACTCGCCAACATTCCAGTCTTGGTTCCCGGGACACAGCCCCGCCCACGCAGCCTGCCTTAGGCCCACCCACTGGTTGGGGTAGTATTGCCTACTCATTGGATTGGACCCACCCATACCCTGCCTCTAATTAATGCGGGGGCTATCCACACAGAGCCCCCCAATCACCCTAATGAGTCATTTATCAGTGATAATATTGTGATTCCGTGGACCATGGCCCCACTGTAGTTGTGACACATCAATATTTGGACCTGAGGTGCAAGTGGAGTGGGACAGTCCCAGTTGGTGGGAACAGTTGGCATCCTGATAAAAAATTTTTTTTTCTCTCTTACAAATGAAATCTTTAATAGCTCAGAAGAAATAAAAAGAGGAAAAAATAAAAAAAAAAAAAAAAACAAAACAGAGAAAAAAAGAAAAAAAAGAACAAAAAAAAGTAAGAAAAAAAAAACAAAAAAAAAAAAAAAAAAACAAAAAAAGAAGACCAACAGACAAAAAAGAAAAAAGAAAAAAAAAAAAAAATAAAAAAAGAAAAAAAAGGAAAAAAAGAGAACAAAAAAAAAAAAGAAAAGAGAAAAAAGAAACTAAGAAAAATGAAAAAAAGAAAAAAAAAAAAAAAAACAAGAAGAAAAAAAAGAAAAAAAAAAACAAGTAAAAAGCAAAAAACAAAGACAAGTAAGATATCAAAAAGAAGAAGAAAAAAAAAATAAAAATGAATAAAGAAAAAATAAGAGAAAAACAAAAAAGAAAAAAAAAAAAAAAAAAAAAAAAAAAAGAAAAAAAAATAAATAAAAGAAGTACGAAAAAAAAGAGAAAAAAAAAAAAAAAAAAAAGTAAAATAAAAAAGAAAGAAAAAAAGAAAAGAAAAAAAAAAAAACAAAAAGTTAAAAATAAAAACAAAATAA